CCAGATGTTAGCAGGAGTTGGAAGTATTGATAACCACCGATATTCTCTGGATAGCCACTGGCTGCCCTACCAGGCCAAGCCACGGACAACTACCTGTGACCCTCTCCGCTGGTGGGATGGAGGTGTCTGAAGGCTGTGGCCAAAGCCCTGCTGAAGGACCAGCCTGCTCCCACTGTAATGAGTGCACCAGACTTGCTCTGACTCATTGCCCAAACTAGGACGTACAGGCTCTTGCTTTCTCCGGGGCTGTCTATCCCAGCATGCTCTGCTGATCACTGCCAAAGGAAAAGCCTATATTCACACTTGTTAACTATATGAATTTCCACTATGCTATTCCGTTTTTTCTCCCATAACACTAACTTCCCACAGCTTCGTGATGTTCCCCACAAAACGAGTAAGTTACATGAGACCGTTAATCTAGGGATCAGAAGACCGAGAATCAAAGCCCTGCTCTGCCTCGACCTTGCTGTGTTGATTGGAGACGTTTTTGCCAAAGCCCTGTGGGTTTTACATTTCTTATCTGTGATATGAGACTGGCACTTTCCTTGCCAATCTCACAGGAATAATGGTTTGGCGCCAATGGAACACTGCACATAAACAACAATAAGCTCTTAATATATAAGCAAGTGTTACAATCCAGAAATAGTTTTTCCAGATGCAATCTGTACACTCAGCCAGGCTCTTTTCCGGATGCTGACAAATATCACAGTCACAGATTCTCGATTATTTTCCATTTTATTGTCTCCAGTTCTTCCCATTAAATGGAATCTTCTGGGTCATTTGATTCACCCTTGCTCTCGTTGGCCAGCCGGGGAGCTGTGTGGAAGGCCTTCCTGATGCATCACCAGTAGGCACAAGGCAGAACATGGTTTCAAGAATGGCCCCCAGGCTTGGCTATGTTAGGTCCAGAGTGCCAGTGTGCAATTTACAAAGCATTTTCAAATCCATGTTCTCATTTGATCACCCCAACTCTACTGAATAAGTAGGAGAACAAAAATGCCCAGGGTTCAAATGAGGGAACCAGTGCTTGGAGAAATCAATGAACTTTCCAAAATCCGAACAACTGGAAATTGACAGAATCATAACCCAGACCCCTACATGGCTCCAGATTCAGTGGCCTTTCCAATGTACCCTTGCCTTTTGGCTTTCCATCCTGAGCGAGAGACATCCCTTTCTCCTGCCCCCAAGGCATTCTAACGACCCCTCTTCATTGTGCCTCTCCATCCAGCTGGTCTCTACCTTCTGATGCTCCAGAGGGTCAGGCGATTGGCAGCTTCTTGTCTCTGCTGGTGAATACGTCTTGGATGTGCCCTGTGTGTCTCCGACTACAGAGGTTCCGGTCTAGACTCATTTACAGCTGTCGTCTCACTGAGAACAAGACCTGTTCACCGTGAGAAAATAGTGGGCTGGGCGATCAAGCAAAGACAAGGAGGGTCACCCCTGTCCCTGGGACCCAGCCTCCGCTGTAACCATCGCAGTCAGGCTACAGCAGCAACGGGCCTGACTGGTCCTAGGATGGCTAGAGAAGGCACAACCTGTTCCTCACACCTGCCAGCCTTGACTGATGAACGCCCCAGGGGGCATTTGTGCCTAAGGACCAAGGTGTGCCTGACCCAAGCCATGGTATTTTCAATCACCTTGTCTGCAATAAGGAAGACTGAAGAATAGATGCCTTCGAAACATGGGATTGGAGCAAATTCTTGAATGTGCCATGGACGGGCAGAAGAATGAAGACAGCCGTCTTGGACAAGACACACAGCCAGAAGGCTCCTTGGAAATGAAGATGGCAAGATGCCATCTCTCATCCTGTGGGCATGCTTCCAGGAGGGAGGAGTCCCTGGGGGAGGACATCATGGTTGGTCAAGCAGAGGCTCCGAGAAAAAGAGGATGGGCACAGTGGCTGCGACAACGATCTCAAACACAGCAAGCACGGTGCGGGAGTGGGAAGCACTCCGTTCTGTTGTTCGTGCGAACAGGGTCGCTGAGAGTCAGCGCCCGCTTCATGTCACCTAACAGCGACAAAGGCGACTCATGGTCACTCGCGCATTAGCTGGCCGCCTCCGGAGAGAAGAGGGAGCACGAATGGGCAGACTGGCCGGTTTCCCACTCTGGAAAATGGAAGGTTCCGCTCCCAGAGTGCCTCGTGCTGTTTCCATTGTGGGGATCTGAAGTGTCTCCACACCCAAGGAGGTACACCCAAGCCCGGGGGGGACGGAGGCCTCTCAGCTTTTCAGCCCCCGGCTCCTCCTCGTGAGTCTCCTTTATTCCTTCTGCTTGGATTACGGGAGTTTCTCCATCCTCCGGATATCCCTTACTCCTGCCCTAGATACCTCTTCAAAGTACCTCGTACTCGCCATTAGCATTTCTGCCTTGCAAGCCCGGCTCTACACACATGAAATGTTTGCTCTGTTGGTGGGCTCCCTCTCATTTCTCTGTTGGAGACCAGCTAACAGCCCACCTGCCGTAGCTAGTCTCTTCTCCTTACTCTAAGACACAATGGCCACACCTTGACCTGTATTTCACGTGAAATGTATCACGTGCTCCTTAAAACTCTCTCAGAAATGTTTGTTCTCCCTCGCTCTGCAGGGTAAGCTCCTGCAAGAGCAGGGATTGGCTCATTACTCTCACAACCTTTTGCCTTCTGTGGCTTCTTGATGCAAATGGTGATTGCAGGTTCCAATCCATCCCGAGGCTCTTCAGAAGAAAAGCCTGGTAAATCAGCTCTGAAAAATCACAGCCACTGGGGGCGGGGTCACGCGGCACACCTCTACCCTGATGGAGTCTACACCAGCACTCCCATGAGTCAGAGTGGATTTGACAGCTACCAGTTTGGTTTGAAGGTGGGGCGGGTAGCAGGGGGGCAGTGAGAGAGTGGTAAATCCTTCACCCCTCACCCCAGTGTGCTGGCCAAATGCCTGGCACTGGAGAAACAGAAATGTCAAATGAAGTGGTGGCAGTTCTCAAAAGGATTACCACTCTTTTGGAAAACAGGAGGAAAATGTGTTTACCCAGCATGGCACTGACAGCCAGCCTAGCGCTGGGAGACCCGCCTAAGGACTGGAGATGTATTTTGTATACAATGGCGTCATGAAAGGTCTTTTTTCTTATCGTTTTTTCCTTTTGAGGCAAGAAAGAGGAGACGTGCCAGACAGAAGATTAAGTTGACTGCAGTCTTGCTTACTTTACCCAGGCCACAGTGACTTTCCTAGCACAAATAAGGCTTGTTGCTGCCCCTGGGCCTTTGCACGCCAAAAAGCACACACGCACACACACACATACCCCAATCTGTGCAGGACTAGTATTTTCTCCTTTTCTTATCTTCCTGCCATTTTCAACATACTTTGGACATGCTATCAGGAGAAACAAGTCCCTGGAAAAGGACATCATGCTCGGTCAAGTAGAAGGTCAAGAACAAAGAGGAAGATGGAGTGACCCCTTGGCTGCATTGATGGGCTCAAACCCAGCAACACCTGGGAGGAGGTGCAGGAGCCCGCCCGGGAAGGGCTCTGGGGTGCACACGGATGGAAGATGGTAGAACCGACTGGAGGGACCTTAAGGACACAACAACAAATCCTTCAAAAGTCCATTGCAATGGCTTCTCACAGAAACATGACCCAACTAGAGGGGTTCTTGCCCTAAGTTACTCCCAGAGATTGGGCAGTTTTTTTCACAGAAAAGTTCTCATCCAGAAATGACCCACCTTCTTCCTGTCATCTTTCCCCGCACAAGCATTGGTCCTCCGCTCCATAAGGGCAAGACTTTTTTTGAGAGGGGCGGGGGGTCCTATGGACCACTATCTCCCCAGTGCTCGGAACTGTACCTGTCACATAGTAGGCACTTTTTCAAAGGCACTACTTGAATGAATAAATACATGAATGTTTAGGTCAGCGGTTCAACCCCATGGAATAAATAGAATGCTGGGGAGCAGAGGGACAAAGCCAGTGGACAGGAAGGCCGAAAAGAGAATGACCAGGCAGGAACAACCAACCAACACACTGCCATCCAGCCGGTGCTGACTCATGGGGCCCTCAAAGGACAGGGCAGGACGGCCCCTGTGAGTTTCCAAGACGGTGACTATTGGCGGGGGTAGAAAGGCCGCCTTACTGCACAAGGAGCAGCGGGGGTAAATATTGTCAGGCTCCGGAAATGGAATGGATGTTTGACGAAGGGAGAGAGCAGCCAGGACAGACAGGTATCTAAGCAAGGTACTTGAGGGAACGATGAGACCAATGAGAGACATGAGGGACATGGAGAAAGGAATATTTCTGTTGTACTATACCTTGAATGCTGGATTTCTTAGAAACCTCATACTGTTTTATTTTTAATTTTAACACCATAAGAACAATTGTTTTCATATAAACAAAGGGTTTAGCTTATCTGGAACATGTGTTGGTTTATATTATCAGTTTTCCTATTCCTTTCATGGTTAGCCTAAAAGTACAATATCCACTGTTTATGGAGTGGTCAGTGTCTCGCAAAGGAGCTTCATTGGTGCAGTGGGTCAAGGATGGGGCTGCTGACAGGAAGGTCGGCAGGTTGACCCACCAGCCACCCCCAGGGATAAAGATGTGGCAGTCGACTTCCATAAAGATGTACGGCCTATGGCACTGAAGTATACAAGTAGAAGTTGTGGAATTGGAGAATGTTCTGGTGTGTATATTTTTGCCACAATTAGAAAAAAACAAAATCAACAATCACATGAATAACAATGAGTACAGGAAGCAGAAAATGTTCTAGAACTGAATATAGTGACAACTGTACAACTCTTCTTGATATGATTGAATTATCAAATTATATGGCATGTGGATGAAGTGCTAAAAAAACTGTTTAAAAACAAAAGATTTACAGCCTTGGGAAGCCTAGAGGGTTGTCATAAGTAGGAAATAATTCAGCGCCTGTGGGTTTGGTGAATCCTCTGTCTCGAGTATTTTTCTAAACAATATTGTTTCTTATATCCTTACTCCTCAAAGCAGCACACACATTCATTTCTCGCATTATCTTCATTGTCAGAGGAATAAACTGAGGCCAGGAGAGGTTAAGTAATTTTAAAAGGATCCTACAACTAGTGGGTATAGGTAATACACCTCGTATTTAATCCTCAGCAGAATAAATACCAACATCCTCCCTAGAAAAACAGCCTATTTGTTAATTCAAGAAAAAGAATAGTTGCACAAAACTGACCAATTCAAACCTGAAGATCACCAATCAAGTCCTGATCAACAGGAGCCCAGATTGAAAGAAAAAATCAATGAGTATCTAGAACCATAAAATTGAACTTCAATGAAAAAGCACATAAAAATAAATTTAAGTAAAGATCACACGCCAATAAAAGAATGTAATGTATTGAAGCAGCCCACTAGTCAGGCAAGGCCCCTGGGCAGCCTCCTTGTGAGGCTGGGTGCAAGTTTCCAATTAGAACAGTCATCCCCAGAATGCAAGCATGCTTCTCAATTTATCTTTCTTATTGTACCTAATTTGCATTTTATAAACTCACATGGCAAGAAAAATGTCTATGGTATTTCATGTCAAACACTGGGCTTGATTTAAAAGTATGACATGAGCTTAAAGAAGTTCCGTAGATCAAGGTGGACAGGTGGCACTGTAGGTGAAGTGTTGAGCTGCTCACCACAAGGTTGGTGGTTCAAACCCACCAGCTGCTTCAAGAAAGAAAGATGAAATCTGGCTGCTCCTGTTAAGATTTAGTCTTGGAAACCCTATGTAAGGCCCTATTAGTCAGAATCAACTCAATCACAATGGGTTTGGTTCTAGGGTATATTGAGGGTGGAGGGGACTATTCAACGCCTCTTAATGTGTTCTGACATCCATCCCTTAAAGTAACTCCGTCTGGCATTTCTGGCCCCTTTGAAGAAGTTGCCCCCTACATGGAAAAGGGATTTTACCAGAGAGGTAGGATCCCATCCCACAGCAGACACCTACCTCCCCTTCCCAACTTTCAGCAGCCAAGAGGAGCCCCTGGGAAAACAGGTCTTGCTGGTATGAAACCTCAGATAGAAAACTAGCTGCACGATGTGTACATCATATAACCCTACATACTGTGCCTGTTCCAGTGCTGACAGCTGCAGCTTCCACTTTCAGAGAAGCTCAGAGAAAAGGTCTCTTGACATTTCGGAAGGATACTCAGGCGGGCAAATGCTCCATTTAATGGCCCCCATGTCTCTGCTCCTTCTGGAGAGGTCTGCCCAGCGGTAATGCCCTCTGTGGATACAACACAGGGGCTGCGTGACTCATTTGGAGAGCCAGGGATGGCATATCTGAACACCTTCCAGGAGGACACCTGCCAATTCCCTGCTACCCTCCCTGGAGGGAAATGGCCCGACCCAGAGGTGGTTTTAAGCCAAGACTCTTACTAGGCCCATTCCTCCTGAGTGCTCTTTCCCCAGGTTATCCCTGGCTGCCCTGTTTCTAGCTTCAGAAAACGTGCTCATTCGCTGTGCCCCTCCCCCTGTCCTAGTGTGCCCTGATTGAGTGGTGCAGTTCAAATCTCACCAAGTCCTGAGGCAATGGAACAGGACGGGCAACTCTCTCTCTCGGAGAGAGAGAGCGAGGGGCTGTTCCGCTCCACATACAGAGAAGCATGTTTTAACCCTTAAGGTAACTGCAGGTTGTAACCAGGTTAGCTTGGGGCAAATGAGATGGGAAAGCTTGTCTCCCAAGGGGCAAAGGTTACCCTGACCCATCAGCACTCCTGATTAAACTAAATGAGAATAAATGTCTGATGGGTACGTGTGGGCTGCTCGTGTGGGCTTTACTTAACGTGGCTGGAACCGGGGCTTCAGGATTCTTGTATACCAATGTATGGAAAGGAAAACCCAAAACCAAAAAAACGATGCAAAATGAAAAGCAGAAGCCAGTCTCTCCACCCACCCTCTTACGTCCCCAAAGAATTCTATCAATCTTATTTTAAAAATCAACGTGCATTAGGGAGAGCATGTTTTAGTGGAGGACTTATTAGTGAGGTAGAAACCTTCAAGATGTCCAAGTTGATTCAAGGGGTCATGGCCAGGTGTTTAGCTTGTCCCTCCACACCTCCTTGCACCTGTCTACCTCCAGCTCTTAAGCAGGTAGGCTATCTCCTTCATCATTGAAGGATCAAAAACCTTCCCACTGCCCAACTCTAGGGGGCTCTGCTCCCTCCTGCCAAAGCCCCGCTGAAAAACAAGAGCTATTCTCACTGTAAGATCCATGGGAAGGGGAAGGAGGGGAGGGCGGAAAGGGGGACCCGATTACAACGATCTACATATAACCTCCTCCCTGGGGGACGGACAACAGAAAAGTGAGTGAAGGGAGACATCGAACAGTGTAAGATATGACAAAATAATAATAATTTGTAAATTATCAAGGGGTCATGAGGGAGGGGGCAGCTGGAAGGGAGGGGGGCAAAATAAGGAGCTGATGTCAGGGGCTTAAGTGGAGAGCAAATGTTTTGAGAATGATGAGGGCCACGAATGTACAAATGTGTTTTACACAATTGATGTATGTATGGGTTGTGATAAGAGTTGTATGAGCCCCCAATAAAATGATTGTTAAAAAATCCATGGGGAGACTTGAGAAAGGCCCCCATCCCCGACATCCATCCACATGGAAGTGGAAGACAGAGCTCTCCCTCTGGCAAGCCACGGGGGGTGGGGGGGGTGAAAGAAAGGAGCGATTCCAATGCGTCTTTGTTCCCTCCCCTCCCTTCCTCCCTCCCCACGCTCACCTGTCGATGGCGATCGCCAGCAGGACATTGGTGGACACGTAGAGGGACACGGTACGAAGGTAGTTGACAGAGGCGCACAGCATGTGGCCGTGCTCCCAGGAAAGCTGGCGCACCACGTAGTAGTCCATTTCAAAGGGGCAGCAGACAATGGCCACCAGGAAGTCAGAGATGGCCAGGTTGGCAATGAGCAGGTTGGTGAGGTTGCGGAGCTTCTTGTAGCGGGCCAGAGCGGCGATGAAGACGAAGTTGCCGATGCCACAGACCAGCATGATGCCCACCAGGGCCAGGCCAATGACGATCTTGGCAGCAAAGAAGGTCCGAGAATTCGTCACGTCCTCATCTTCATCCAAGGGGATATCATAGTCCCCATAGCTGAGGTTGAATGGGAAAGGGGCAGCTGGGCCTCCTTGGGGGTCAAGCACAGACAGGAAGTTGGTGGATGTGTTCCTGTCATTGCCATCCCTCACAGCCCCCGTGGTGAGCTCCATCTGGGCAGGTGGTGCTCCTGTGGGCCGTACTGCTGGGAATTCCCCGGAAAAGCAAGGTCGCGAGGCTGGAGGGCTCTTTTCTTCTCTCTTCACTCTTGCTTTCCCTCAGCGAGTCAATCTCCCGGCCAACCTCTTTGAGAATGATGAGGCGGACTGGTGGCGCTGCCAGGACTGCAGCTCTGAGTTCCACAGCATCTGAGTTCCAGGGCAGACCTTTGAGAGACCAACAGTTGGCTGCATGGGTAAGGGAAACTGGCAGCATTTTAAACCGTCTTGCAACCGATGCTGACCCATCAGTCACCTGCTCAGAGTGGACCTAGGATGAGGGAGTACAAACAAAGGAACCCACGAGGGAGCACCAATAAACCAGCAAACACAGACCCACTCAGTCAGGGGAAGTTGGGCAACCAGGCCCTGGCTCATTTCAGTTCTGCTCCCCTGAAGAGACAGGCAGGAGCCCTGGTGGAGTCGTGGTTACACGTCGGGCTGCTAACCACAAGGTCAGTAGTTGGAAACCACCAGCTGCCCCTCAAGAGAAAAACGAGATGTCCGACTCCCTTAAAGAATCACAGTCTCGGAAACCCACAGGGGCAGTTGATCCCTACGAGTTGGAATCGACTCGTGGCTGTGAGCTTGGAAGACATGGGCATGATGAGTTTTACTCAAAGACCAAAGTTGGGAGTCTGGGGGGGCTCCTCACTGGAGTTCTGGTCCCCGCAGCAAAGCAGCAGGGACCCTAGAAACCTGGCACCGCATTTACCAAGACCCTGAGGGGTGCCACAGGCGGACATCGAAATGTTGGAGGTTTGAGTCTACCCAGAGACTCGGAGGAAATGCCTGTTAAGGTAGCTGTGCCCACGGGTAAGAACTGAATTGTT